ATGGTAAAACACCAATATAAAACCACAAGTTTTGAAAATGTAGCTACTGGCTGTGGTAAATTAATAATTTTCAGTTTTCATTCCAAAATGATTGAAAATAAAATGATGAAATAATAGTTGCAACATCATAATGCATTTCAGTGACTAAAAAAAAGTAATCAGATAATAGCTGAAATGCAGATATGAATGGAATGCAAGTATAATGGAAATGAAAGCAGTTGGAATTCATGTTAATGCAGGTGAAGTGCAGTTGCAGATTTGGTTAGCCATTATTTTAAAGTTCTTTTATAAAGATGAAGGAGAAAAGGAAATTAAATTGTATCATAAATTATAAGGTAGTCCGAAGTCTTTTCTGAGAGGATGTGGTAAAATGTAATTATTACCTTAAGAATCTACCATTACAAGGTTTTATGTTTTTCTTTTCTTTGTTGATAGTTGAGGTTTTATTGTGGCTTGGGAACTCAAGATCTCCGACAGACATTATCAAATATAAAGTCTATGCTGGAGCTTCGACTTGGAGTCAAATTGTAAGTTACATTATTTTGAATAATGTTCTGAGCAGTTTTAATTGATAAATAGCACCTTCCTTGCTTGGCTCTCAGCATTAAGAGGTTTTGAGTCTAGTATTGGTTAGCCTGGTTTCAGGATAATGTGACTGGGTTGGACATGATTCTACATTCTTGTGGTATGATGCCCTGGTGCTAGACATCACTATGAATTGTCACACTGCATAAATTGTAGCAATATGAATCAAATTATTATAGCTACATTAAGAATCCTCAAACACACACACACACACACACACACACACACTCACACACACACAATTGATTTGTCTTATATAGATTCCTGTCAGCATAAACCAGATACAGATTTTATCATCTCAGAACTTATTCTTTTGAAGTAGCAATTCATCACTAGATTCCTTTATTGTTTAGCTCAAAATCTACCCTGACTTGAATCTTTCAGGAAAGTTTGTATATGGACATTTAAACTGCATTTTTAATTTGCAAACTAAATCTCATCATGATCAAATTTTAGATATCCTTAAATATACATTTGCTTTATTTTTTACAGTGATAAGCAGAATCTATCTCTAGGATGGATGGGAGACAAAAAGGAAGTAGTTAGTAGTCCTTCAAATGACCTTGAAAGGGCAGAAACTGTAAGCTCTCTAGCTTCTGGAGGTAAATATAGTGCCCATGATCCAGCAGAAGAGGCACTGGAAAAGATGTTAGATGCAAATACAAATAGTTTACCTTCCATGAAGGATCAAGTAGATAGTGCTATTTTATCACAAACCATACATAAAATGACACATGTACATGAGGATGAAAAGGAGGATCTGTTTAAAGGAACAGATGATCATTTCTTTCAAGTGGTCAGTCCTATTGAAAAAGACTTAAACTCCAAAGAACACATTGCTGATGATACTTCCCAAGAAGAATATGAAACAAACTCAGCCTGCCCAGCCAAGATCAGTGTTCTGTTCCAAGATAACAATTCAGTGTATATGAACCACAATGATAATGCAAGCCATTCTAGCTCAAATCTTGTATGTGATATTTTGGATGAAGACCTTGTCTCTCAGGGGACACAATCAGGGTCCCCATCAGACTGTGATACTAAAAAAAAGGAAGTTAAATTTACTGATGTAGCTGAAATCCATTCCGAAAGTGACAATGTCAGCATATCTTGTGCTGTTACTGGACTCAGTATACAATGTCAAACTCAAGAAGAAAAACCTACCAATTTATTAGAAGAAAGTGGGTCATAGTGATCTATATATTTATTGTAGTATATGTCCATGTCTATTTTGCATCCAAACTTCTAGGGAGAAATTCTTTATGTATTTCATTAGATTTGGTACATTTTCATTCTTAACTGCTGAAATCATCAATCTGATGAATTCATCTATCAGTCTTAAACTAATTAAGTCATCTGTCAGTCTTGAGCTGATGAAGTCAGCTTTTCAGAATATATTTATAACATGCATATATCCATTATAAGAAGACATGAGATTTAAAAACTCCTACAATTAGTCACATATGAGATTATTCTCCATTGGCTCTCTCTTTCTTGGTATGTAATGCAGACAGGCCTGTTGTTTCAGATACATGAATTCCTTTTTGTTACAAGGCAACTGAATATAAATCACTGCTTGATTCATTTTCAAATTTTGTATTTAATGCAGGCAGGCCTGTTGTTTCAGATGCAATAGAGCTTTATTCAGATATATCTGTGGCTTTTGGTTCAAAGCTATTGAATATAAATCATTGCTTGGATTATTTTCGCATTACATTTTTTTATTTCGTATTTCATGTTTTTCATGTAAGTCTGTTGCTTATTTATAAAAGGAAATGTGTTTATTTATTTGAAGTTTCTAAAATAGTTTAAAACAGTCCACCAAGACAGCTTAAGTTAATCATTGCTCAACCAGGTCTGAAAAATAAATAATTAAACAGATGGTAATTTTATCACTTCACTTTGTCCCCACCCCCTCCAATAGTTTGGGCTATCATTTGCATATATGTGAGTATAGGTGTGTATATTGGGCATGTAAATGAGTATAGGTGCATATATTGGGCATGAAAATGAGTAGGTACATATATTGGGCATGCAAATGATTATAGGTGCATATATTGGGCAAGAAAATGAGTATATGTGCTTATATTTGGCACAAAAATGAGTATAGGTACATATATTGGGAATGAGAATGAGTATATGTGCATATATTGGGCATGAAAATGAGTATAGGTGCATATATTGGGCATGAAAATGAGTATAGGTGCATATATTGGGCATGAAAATGAGTATATGTGCATATATTGGGAATGAAAATGAGTATACATGCATATATTGGGCATGCAAATGAGTATAGATGCATATATTGGGAATGAAAATGAGTATAGGTGAATATATTGGGAATGCAAATGAGTATAGGTGCATATATTGGGCATAAAAATGAGTGTGCATATATTGAGCATGAAAATGAGTATACATGCATATATTGGGCATGAAAATGAGTATAGGTGCATATATTGGGCAAGAAAATGAGTATATGTGCACATATTAGGTATGAAGAGTATAGGTGCATATATTGGGCATGAAAATGAGTATATGTGCATATATTGGGAATGAAAATGAGTATACATGCATATATTGGGCATGCAAATGAGTATAGGTGCATATATTGGGCATGAAACTGGTAGGTAGCTTGGTACAAGTTTATACAATGATTTGTCACATTTTCTGCCTCAGACAAAAATGTTTTGATTGTCACTACTCATTGTTACATGCCTCCCAGAAAAGTTTACTGTGACATTTTTATTATATTTCTCTGGTTTTGGTTACACTTCATTCTTTTTTAAAGTTCTTATCTCCACCATTGTTGCACCAAATTTTTGTTTTAAAATGAGTGTAAATCTTGCTTGGTATAACTTTTCCCTCATTGCATTCATATCTGTGAAATTAAATCTCCGTCCGGAATAAGTCAGAAATAGGGAAAAGTGGTGGTAGAAGTTTAAAATTGTCATTTTAAGTAATTTTATATTGGATGATTACAACACATGAAATAATATTAAACGTTTATAAAGATAGTATAGCCTTTTTTTACCACAGTACTGTTTGTGTATGAAATTAAATGGTAGCCTCAAAAATAGGTTACAGTTACCATACCAGAAATGCATGTATGATGAAATATTGGATGAAATTGTTAATGTTGTTGGTAGTGGAGCTGGATATGATTTGGCTACACAAATTCAGCTTGTCGCTTTTTTTCAAGGATTTATTGTGTTTTGTCAGTGAGAAATTCTGGAATTTATGATTATCAAGTTAGCACCAAATTGATTTCATAACAAAAAAAAAATTCTTTTTCCATATTTCTATCTTCTCTTTTGATGGGAAAATTTATATGAAGTCTACATTTTACTTTCATTATTATTGTCTTATATTGAAATGAAATGAGGTGGAGTAATGACCTGAAGTGAATATAAGGCAAAATGAACTTCACTTTTAGGGTCTGTTTCAATGGAATGGCAACTGTTTTACCCAAATTACTGCAATCACCACAACAGTATGAACCTTGTTTGTATTCAGATTCTGCAACATAGTGCATTTTCAAAAAGCTAGCAAATGAGGAGCTCCTTCATTTACATAGCAACATATAAGTATGTCTTATCTAATTAGAAAATATTTTGACTATCTGTTTTGCATAGATGATTACATATTCATTATTGGTAATGCTCAATACACAGATTTTGCTTTGAATTGATTAAATTCAAAATATAGCCCTTAGATTCATCTGCCAAGGTATGTTTCGTTTCCCATGGTTTAACTTAAAATGGTAAATGACTTTTTTGTCTACTTTTATTGACCAAATCATGTTTTTGTGATATTCAATTTCATGCTATTTTTAAAGGAAATAAATGGTGTGCAATATTCTAGTTTGTTGACTAGTGTCTGCTTGGCAAATATGCTGCAAAGATTCCTATTCTTAAAAACAGAAAAGAACTTTAATGCAAAACAAATGGTGTAATATGATCATAGGGCACTTTTAATCTAGTAAGTAACAAACAAAATCATTATAATGCAGCTTAAACATATGTTGGATGAATAAACTTACATTTATTTGAGGGGCCTTGAGTGGCTGAGTGGTCTACAGCGCTGTCCTTTACAGATCACTGCCATCTCACCTCTGTCTGCATGGGTTCGAGTCTAGGATTCAGCGAATGTGGATATGTGATAAAGCTTGCCAGTAGCTTCTCGTGGGTCGGTGGTTCTTTCCGGTTATTTCCCGGTTTCTTCCTCCACCATTAATACTGGCCGCCATGAATAGCCTATCATGTGCTGAAAAATGGCATTAAGCCCAACAACAACAACAACAACATATAATTGCCTCATATTTAAGAATTTTTTTAAAAAAAGATGGGGTTTCTATGCCAGGATAACAACAGATTTAACAGTGATATTTAAAAAAGCAACTTTCTACTAAACTGATCGACCATTCTGGTGGCCTAGTGGTAGAGCATCCACCTTGGATGTGGGAGGTTGTGGGTTCGAACCATGGCCAAGCCATACCAAAGACTAAAAAATGGTACAAACAGCTGCTTCACATGGTGCTCAGCATTAAGAGGTTAATGTTAGGACTGGTCAGCCTGATGTCAGGATATTGTGACTGGGTGGGACATCATGCCGTAGATGCCCAGTGCAAGACATCACTATAAACTGTCATACTGCAGACATTGTAGTGATATAACTGAAAAATTGTTAAAGCTAAAAATCTAAATCACACAAATCACACACACAAAACTGGATCAGAATTGTGGAACTTTTATTTGGTTTACTCTGTACCTTATCATAACTGTATTAAATTTTTCCATCTCCTGTACAAGGACATCTGAAAATAAATTGCAAGAAGAATTAGAAAGTGATGAGGGATAGTGTACATATTACAAATTCATTTCACAATACAAATTTCCAATAGTAACGACCCTGACATTTTTTATTGTTGTGGGATCATCGTGATTTGCTTCTTGATTACATCCATCCATCCTGAGACCCTTGTTACACTGCCTTAAGGCTAGTCAACTTAGACGATAAAAAATTTATATTTGTATTGATTATTCCTATTTATTAAAGCATGATTAGAATTTAAGTAATATAATAATTTAAAGTTTTTACAATCATTTTTTTTCTGTTGAATAACTTTGTTAGCACAATTACAAAAAATTACATGAGGTAGACATAAACATTTGTTAGGCATATTTTTATTGTTTTCAAGAGAAACTGATTAGATTTTCAGATGCTTGCATCTGTTTTCCAAGTTTTTTACACATTTTGATATGCCCATTAGCAGGTAAGACCTGCCCATCCATCCATCTGCCAGATTTAATGTCTGAATGGTAGATAAAGTTGTTTACCAACTACGTTTATTAAACTGTGGACTGCTTGCACTTGGGCTAAGGAAGAAACAGCGAAAGGAGAAAAATGGTGTCTACACAATAACTAGAATTATCAACAATCTACAGTTGCCAAAATGTATTGATATCTTGTACTTGGTGTCAGGAAAAAATCTATAAGTATTTCAGTTTTATTAAACGAAAGAAATATTTAAGGTTACCAGAAGAAGAAAAGTTGTTTCTACATGATAACATTAGTTCTTCATCACACCTGGACCAAAGTTAATGCATGAACCTTACCATAATGGTATGTACCTGCACAAAGGATAAATCAATCTTGTAATGTACAACTTTACCACACTGGTACTAATAGAAAAGTTGTATAAACCATATAATGGTTCAACCATACCCTACTGGTACTTACATAGTGGATGAATAAACCATGTAATATACAACCATACCCTAGTGGTACTTACATAGTGGATGTACAAACCATGTAATATACAACCTTACCCTACTGGTACTTACATAGTGGATGTACAAACCATGTAATGTACAACCTTACCCTACACAGAGAATTTATAAACCATGTAATATGCAGCCAAACCCTAGGAGTACCTACACAGAATTTATAAACCATGTAATATGCAACCATACCCTAGGAGTACTTACATAGTGGATGAATAAACCATGTAATATACAACCATACCCTAGGAGTACTTACATAGTGGATGAATAAACCAGGTAATATACAACAATACCATAGGAGTACTTACACAGTGGATGAATAAACCATATAATATACAACCATACCCTAGTGGTACTTACATAGTGGATGTACAAACCATGTAATATACAACCATACCCTAGGAGTACTGACACATTGGATGAATAAACCATATAATATACAACTATACCCTAGTGGTACTTACACAGTGGATGTATAAACCATGTAATATACAACCTTAACTTACTGGTACCTACACAGTGAATATATTGTATGTATAATTCTACTATTGTTCAAGTTTTGGGAAGGTGTTCACATGATTAGATGCTAGCTTAATTAGACAAATTCCACTTGAGGTGGCAGAAGCTTGCTTAATTAGACAAAAAAATAATTGCCGTATTTGAGACTAACTCAAAACCTACTCGAGGTAGCAGAAGCTAGCTCAGACAAAACCCACTTGAAGTAGGCAGAAGCTAGCTGAATTAGACAAAACTCTTGAGGTAGGCAGATGCGAGCTTAATTAGAAAAAAAACCACTTGAGGTAGGCAGAGGCCAGCTTAATTAGACAAAACCTACTTGAGGTAGCAGAGGCTAGCTTAATTAGACAAAATCCACTTGAGGTAGGCAGAGGCTAGCTCAATTAAACAAAACCTACTTGTGGTAGGCAGAAGCTAGCTCAATTATACAATCTAGTTGAGGTAGGTAGAGGCTAGTTTAATTAGACAACAGACTTGAGGTTGGACGAGTCTAGCTTAATTTGACAGAACCCACTGGAGGTAGGCTGAAGCTAGCTTAATTAGACAAAACACTTGAGTTAGGCAGAGGCTAGCTTAAGTAGACAAAACACACTTTAGGTATGCAGAGGCTAGCTTATTTAGACAAAACCCATTTGAGGTAGGCAGAGGCAAGCTTAATTGGACAAAACTTACTTGAGATAGCAGAGTCTAGCTTAATTTGACAAGCTCCACTTGAGGTAGCAGAGGCTAGCCTAAATAGACAAAACCTACTTGAGATAGACAGATGCTAGCTTAATTAGACAAAACCCACTTGAGGTAGGCAAAAGCTACCTTAATTAGACAAAACCTACTTGAGGTAGTCAAAAGCTACCTTAATTAGACAAAACACTTGAGGTAGGCAGATGCTAGCTTAATTAGACAACACTTGAAGTAGGCAGAGGCTAACTTAGCTACCTTAATTATCAAAACATTTGAAGTAGGCAGGGGCTAGCTCAGTGAGACAAAACCTTGCATAGCTAGCAGAGGCTAGCTCAATTAGACAAAACCTACTCGAGGTAGCAGAGGCAAGCCTAATTAGACAAAACCTACTTGAGATAGGCAGAGGTTAGCTTAATTAGACAACACTTGAGGTAGGCAGAGGCTAGCTTAAGTTGACAAAACCTACTTGAGGTAGGCAGAGGCTAGCTTAATTAGATAAACTCCACTTAAGGTAGACAGAGGCTAGCTTAGTTAAACAACACTTGAGGTAGGCAGAGGCTAGATTAATCAGACAACACACTTGAGGTATGCAGAGGCTAGCTCAATTAGACAAAACATTGAGGTAGGCAGAGGCTAGATTAATTAGAAAAATCCAGTTGAGGTAGATACATTTTGAATTTTGTTAGCATGATTATACAAGAACAACTCAAAATGTTAGAATATGCCACTTAAGGTAGATAAAGTTTGTATTTTTAGCATGATTAAACAAAAACAACTTGATATAAGCAGATGCCACTTGAGGTAGATAAAGTTTGTATTTTGTTAGCATGATTAAACATAAACAACTCTATGTAGGCAGATGATAGAGCTTGTTTGTATGGTTAGGCAAAAATCATTTGCAGTAATCAAAGGAAATTTGGTAGACATATTTTGATGACTTGATTAGATTTGCAAGCCATCAGAGTAATTTTTAGATGTTTTAGCACCACTCATCATAGACCAGAAGTGCATTTGGTAAGGTTTGATGTCTGTCATTGTTTATATTCCAATTATATTTAGAATTTACGCATACCTTCATTTCAAGGTCTAATTGGTCAGAAATGAAAATGGTGCTGAATGGATGGGATGTCCAATATGTCCACCACACTGGCCATCTTGAAACTTTTGAAGTGGCTACACCTATTGAAAGGATGGTCATAGCAACATGGGGTATTCATGGAAGTCTTCTTATGATGTCCAGTTGATTGTCAGTTCATATGATGCTGATATGATTTCCAGTTTGCCATCACTGCAGCCAACTTGAGAATTTTGTTTTTGCTACTACTCTTGAAATGATGGTTATATCAGTGTGGGATTTAACTGAAAGACTTCCTGTGATGTCTAGTCAGTCCTGAAAGAAACTGTTGCTGATTGGCTGTACATCATGAGAGACATGTTGGAAATCTTGTTATTGCTTCTTGTTCCTAATGCATGGTCATATAAACATGGGGTTTTCACTACAGATTTCTTTATGATGTATAAATGGTCCTAAATAGAAATGTTAGCAATCTGACATCGATTATTTTTACCATGCCACCAATCTTAAAAGTCTTGTTATCACTACTCTGGGCCCTGAATTAATGATCATTCTGACACTGAATTAATGATCAATCTGACATATTTAATTAATGAGCATTCTGCCAGTAAATGCATGATCATTTTGACATAATGAAATAATGATCATTCTGACATAGTGGATTAATGATCTTTCTGGCATAGTTAGTTAAAGCCATTCTGACATAATTAATTACTGATCATTTTGACATAATTAATGATCATTATGCCAGTAAATGCATGATCATTTTGACATAGTGAAATAATGATCATTCTGACATAGTGGATTAATGATCATTGTGACAGTGAATTAATGATCAATCTGACAGTGGATTAATGATTGTTCTGACATAGTGAATTAATGATCAATCAGACAGTGGATTAATGATCATTCTGACATAGTGAAATAATTATCAATCTGACATAATGGATTAATGATCAATCAGACAGTGGATTAATGATCATTCTGACATAGTGAATTAATGCCTTTCTGACATAGTGAATTAATGATCATTATGACAGTAAATTCATGATCATTTTGACATAGTGAAAAAATGATCATTCTGACATATTGGAATAATGATCATTCTGACAGCAAATTAATGATCAATCTGACAGTGGATTAATGGTTATTCTGACATAGTTCAATAATGATCATTCTGACAGTGAATTAAAGGTCATTCTGATAAAGTGAATAATGATGAATCTGACATATTGGGTAAATGATCAATCGGACAGTGAATTAATGATCAATCCGATATCGTGGATTAATGATCATTCTGACATAGTGAAATAATGCCATTCTGACATAGCTAATTAATGATCAATCTGACAGGGTGAATTAATTATCATTCTGACACTAAATTCATGATCATTTTGAAATAGTGAAACTGATCATTCTGACAATGGATTAATGATCAT